AAAAAAAAAAAAAAAAAAAAAAAGAAAGGTCTATATTAAAAAAATCTCAAGGAGCTGTTGCAGAATATTCAATAAATGGTTTTGCTGTTGTTCATGCAAAAGACATAGGCATATTAAAATATTAAAAATTTGAAAGTGTAAGTCATTGCTAAATTATTAATTCAATCATTTAGAAAACCTTACATGACTTAATGATTTAAAAACAAATTCCATTTCTATTAATACAAATCTACTTACCCCAACTGAGTACATATTTATCCTTGATATTTGCCCTTTAAGATAATTACTTTCACTCAAGAGGGTCAGGCGATCAAATAATCATAGTGCCTCTAGAATGTCATTTTTAGAGACTTATCACTCAGTGAAAATAACTACTTCAAATGATATTTTCATATTAAAAATTCAGCATAAGAATTATTTCGAGCCAACTGTTTTCACTATCAATTATAATTTAATATTAAAACATTCACAATGTCCTGAGATAGTACTTCATGTTGGCTTTACGCTGAGTACTAATGTGGAATTCTTACCTGTAATGTACATGTGTGACTACTGGTTTCCTGTATCCAAGGATCCAGGTTTGAATATCTATGGGTTCAGCTTTGGGATAAGCTATGGTTGTATCTATTATCCACTGGAGGCCTTTCGATCTGCTGTCTGAGAACAATATAAAATTGGATCAATTTTTATATTATTTGCAGCAAATAACATAGTATAGAATTATAAAGCATACTGATATATCCTTTGCTTTAAGAGAATGAACTTTGGCGTTACTGTTCTATATGATGCACTTAGGATGAAATTAAGCACTTCCTATTACATTATAAAATGGCTGAATCTCAAACAAATTAAACAACAGAGTGCTATAGTTTATTGGACATGCATCATTTAAGCATTCAATACAATTGTGCAGTATCAAGGTCTAATTTACATTTTATCACACATAAAAGCTGGCCTACAAAAAAAGTCACTAGCTAAAGTATCACATCACAAAAGCGAAAAGCAGACCTTAAAACAAAAAACTCCGCTCACTAAATATAACACAATATAATACAAACACCAAGTTTTGTGATACTTGGGAGGCATTAATAAATATTGAAATAAGGCAATAAAATTAAGCATTTTATTGATGCAGATGATCATCAGTTGCTGCTCTTGTTCAAAACAAACAAAAAACTCCTCCCATTTTAGCAAGAGTTATATAAAAATAAAGCAATAAATCTGTCTACTCTTTGGTAGGTACAACAGGTAACTACCGTTGTGAGAGGGGCTGGGGAAGTTCTGTTTACTTTGGTCCTCTGCGCGCTGTTTTTATTCCCAGCACGGAGTACAAAGTTGAGCAAGAAGCATGGACATATATACACTACCAAATGTAAGGTAGATAGCTAGTGGGAAGCAGCCGCATAGCACAGGGAGATCAGCTCGGTGCTTTGTGACCGCCTGGAGGGGTGGGATAGGGAGGGTGGGAGGGAGGGAGACGCAAGAGGGAAGAGATATGGGAACATATGTATATGTATAACTGATTCACTTTGTTATAAAGCAGAAACTAACACACCATTGTAAAGCAATTATACCCCAATAAAGATGTTTAAAAAAAAAATAAAGAACTGAGACGGGAATTCTCAAAGAGAACGCTGATAGCTAGACTTTAAAGTGTAATGGTCTATCCTTTGTTTGAAGTATTTAAAGGATCCCTAAAAAAATGAAACTTATTTTTAAATATAAGGCCAAATGTGCAGTAGGAATCAATAATATTTTACTTAAAATATCAAATAATTAAAAACTGGCCTTAAATTCTTTTAAAATTTTAGACAACATTCTGAAGGGGAAGAAATAATCATATAAGACATAAGCTTAAACAGTTTAATTTTTAAATAACATATTGCTAAAGGAACAGAATGTATGTAAAGAGACACATTTTAACAAGCTATCAGTGATGTACATGCTATAATGTTTACGGGCAACTTACTTTGAAATGCATTAAAAAAAACACAACCAAGATGGACTAATAGATGGATAGAAGGATGGAGAGAGATGTGATAAAGCAAATATAGTAAAGTGTTAATTATAAAATCTAGTTGGCCAGCTCATGGATATTAACTGCAAGATTATTTCAACTTTTATGTATGTTTGAAAATTTTTATAATAAAATGGTTGGGACAAATCACCAGAGTTCAGTTTAATATCTATTAAGTCATACAATAAACAAAAAATACTAATCCTTTTAAAGTTAATTAGAGGGACTTCCCTGGTGGTCCAGTGGTTAAGACTCCGCACTTCCATTTCAGGGGGCACAGGTTCAATCCCTGGTCGGGGAACTAAGATCCCACGTGCCGCACGGAGTGGCCAAAATAAATAAATATATAAAAACTTAAAGTTAATTAGATACAACTTAATTTTTATATGTGTATGGACTGACCTCACATTAAAACAGACATGAAGGCATGGTTTGTGTTTATATGGAATAAAATACTAAATAGTGAGTATGAATACTAAAGAAAATAAAACACAAAATATCCATACCAAAGCAGAGAAGCAAATGGTAAAATATAAGTAAAACTAGTTTTGGGGTATACGGTTTTCTAAAATTTCTTATGATTTTCCTAAACTGCTAGAATAAAAAATTTGTTCTTGATAGGTAAGAAGTGGATTTATTTAGAGAGATACACATTCCATAGACAGAATGCTGTCCATCTCGAAAAGCAAGACTGGCCCTGGGAGAGTCACACTCCATAGACAGAGTGTGGGCCATCTCAGAAGGCGAGAGGCCTAAATTTTAACTAAGGTAAGATAAGTAATAAACAATTTCACTTTGGTTATAAACAGAGATTGCTTCTCTCCAAAAGAAAAAACCATTTTTCTTCCCTCTTGTGTAACCAGTATAACAAGTGCCCATTCATTCCTCTGAGATCTAGACCACAGGGTATTGACTGGGTAAAACTACTTAAAAGCAGCGGTATTTATTAGTGCAATTAATCCTATTTGGAAGACCTTTGCCTTCAAGCTTTGGCTTGGCTGACATTGCCACAGTGTCTCTCCAGCAGTGAAGCTATTCTGAACCTTCCTTTTCTATTAAAAGACTCTTTCAATTTGTCTTTTTAATAGATGATGAAACATTAAGAGAGCTGACTGCCAGGCAGCTGTTTGGAAAAAACAAATGAAAGGAAAGCTCAGCACAATCTCACAGGCATTATTTCCATGTTTGGTCCTTAGCATCACCAAAAATAACACATATTTCTGAGGGCCAATCATTCCCATTTTATTTTATCTGAAGAATATTAAAAGAAATAGCAAAATGTTATTACGGAAACAGGCCTAGTAAGTTTCTTTCAGCTTTTTAATTTATAATTTATCACCAAACTCTCAATTGTGTCTTGGATAAAGTAGTTCAAAACAGTCTTCATGCTGTTGGCACAAATATCTTCTGCAAATATGCACAATTCACTAGGCTATCTCCAAGACAGTTGCATCTTTTTTTGTTCAGTTTTGTTTGTTTTTTTAAATAAATAAATTTATTTATTTATTTAGTTAGTTTTGGCTGCATTGGGTCTTCGTTGCTGCGCGCGGTCTTTCTCTAGTTGTGGCTTCGTTGCGGAGCCTGGGCTTCTCATTGCGGTGGCTTCCCTTGTTGCGGAGCACAGGCTCTAGGCGCGCAGGCTTCAGTAGTTGTGGCTCACGGGCTCTAGAGCATAGGCCTCAGTAGTTGTGGCACATGAGCTTAGTTGCTCCGTGGCATGTGGGATCTTCCCGGACCAGGGATCAAACCTGTGTCCCCTGCATTGGCAGGCGGATTCTTAACCACTGCACCACCAGGGAAGTCCACAGTTGCATCTTTGAGTATGGTTTACTTTTTACTGGCCATAAAAGTAATACATACTCACTATATTTTTTTAATTCAGAAAAGTATTCAGAAATGGAGAAAAATTATCCATAATGTTACAACTCAGAGAAGCAATCACCGCTAATATTCTGAAATCTTTCCTTTCACTGATTTTCTACTGCCTTATTATTTACATATTTGAGCTCATATTGTTTACACAAGAGTTGTATGTTTCTCCCACCCCATTAATATTATAGAGCATAAGAATTTTCCAAGCCAATAAACATCATTTGTAATGGCTGTGTTGTATTCTGTTAGATGGATATTTAATAATTACTTATCTGTTCTCTCTTCTGGCTATTTCCAATTTCTTGCCATTAGAAATAATGCTGTGATAAACTACTTTGCCAGTATTTCAGATCATTCCCTTTTGATAAGTCTTATTTGCAGTAGAATAACTGAGTAATTTATCAACATTTTAAGACTCTTAGTAAATACTGCCAAACTTCATTAAACTCATTCTCTGTATTAAAAACAAAAAAACTTTCTAAATTTGATAAATGCAAAAAATATAAATCATTATAATTCCATTTGCATATCTATGATTAGTTTCTCAAATTTGTCATTTCTATTCCTGTATCTTTTAATCCAGCAATTCCACTTCTACGAATTAATACTACAGACATGTTCCACAAATCTGTAAGGATATTTACAGGCATGTTGACTGCAGCAGTGGGAATGGCCACGAGTAAGGTGTACAGTAAGGGAGAGATACCTTCGACTTTATACATTCCTATATTATTTGAATAGATTATTGTAAGCATGGACTACTTTTGGAGAAACATTAAAAAGTTGCATTTTCATCTTCTCCTTCAGTATTATTTCTGTTTGACAAAAATTATAAATATAAAAAAGAACAATGTTATCTTCTGGAACTCCAGAAAAATCCTTTAATTCCAAGAAAAGAAAAAAATGCTAAAAACCATCATACCTAATTGCTTAGCATCTCCTCCTGCTGGACTTCCATTTTCCTGCCGTGCTACAAGTGCACTCAGAATAATTTTTGTTGCCCCAATCCTTGGCAAAGTGACATGTGTAAGAAACGGCAAGTTATTTTTCTTGGCAAATGCCTGACTGGTTTCTCGCCTCTTCCTGAGGAAGCCCCCTTCTGGAAACAGAACAATCCATTTTCGATCTCTGCTCCTGTAATTATTTTCTAGGTGCTTCTTGAGAAGAAGAAGCTGTTGGTCACGATGAGATTTTCCCTAGAAGGCAGACACACATAGAGTAAGTACAGTCACATTTGAAATTTAAAGGCTGTAAAATTAAATATAAATAACTGCTTCTAGAGTAAATCCCAATCATAGGCTAGAATAGTGATTTCCCCCCACTTACTTCCCCTTTTGACCATACTGGAAAAAGTAAGTTATTAGCACTTACATAAATAAACCCTTCCCCCTGCAGAAAAAAATTGCTCTAATTGCCCCCGAAAGTTCATTCATTCATCATCAGTGAGTATTTACTGAGTACCTACTACTTACTTGCCAGGCACTGTCCTGGAGATAGAGAAGTAAGAGACCCTCACGAAGTTTACTTGAATGGGGAAGATATATAATACATATGCATATGTATGTGTGCATATGTATAAATGCAACTGGTGATAAGGTTAGGAAGAAGGGTAAGAGACTAGAGAAGGTCAACAGGGTCAGGAAAAGCAGCTCCAAGGAGGTGAAATTTGAGCAAAGAGCTGATAACGTGAGGGAATAAACCATGTGAAGATGAGTGGCAGAGTACTCCAGGTGATGAGAGAAAAAGGACAAAGGCCCTGAGGTGGGAACGTGTTTGGCATGTTCAGAGAACTGTGGCAAGGCCAGTGTGGCTGAAAATTGCAGAGAGAGGCGGAGGACATATAAGAAAGGCCTTGAGCTTGGTTAAGTAGTAGTTTGGGATGGAACATCATTAGATAGTTTTCAAAAAGGGAGAGTCATGATCTTCTTTACTTAAAAAAAAAAATCTGCTGGCTCCAGTGACAAAAAGACTATAGGAAATAAAGTTAGGAGACTCCTGTAGAGTCTGGTCAAGGGAGTTTGATGAGATTCAACTGTGGGATATCGATGAGAGGTGCACACACTCAGGGAAAAATCTGAAAGCTAACAGGACATTCTGATAGACTGGATCTTAGTTGTGAGGGAAAGA